CGTGAGGGACCCTCGGGGCGGGAGCGCCGGGCGGACACAGCCGGGAGGGAGCGGGCAGCGCCGGGGCCGCGCCGGGACCGCCCGCACAGGTACCGACACCGACACCGACACCGGGACCGGCACACCGCGCTCGGACCGGCACGGGGGCGATGGGGGGAGGGCGGCCGCGCGTTTCCGGGGGGGGAAGGATGGAGGGATGGAGGGCGGCGGGGAGTTGCGAGGCGCGCCGCGGTGGCGCCCGGGCCGGCGGAGCGCCGCGGCCGCGGTCGATGCTCAGCGAAGCGGGGAGCGTGGGCGAGGCCGARAGCCCCCGCTCCGCCCGCAGCAGGGCCCGGGACGGGGTACCACCATCCCCCCGGCGCTGGGCGGGCCTGCGGCGAGCGGCGGCGCCCCGGCCCTTCCTGCCCGGCGGCTCCGGCTKCCCGCGGCCGCAGCGCCCCGGCGGCTCCCCTCGGGCAGGGAACGGGCTCGCAGGAAAGGCCACGAGCTCCTCTCCCGCTCAGAGCAGGGAGAAGCGCGTGTGGGGAGACCGCGATGCGCCGTGCCCGCAGCCCCGCGGGTCCGTSTGGAGCAGGGAGAGCCCTGGGGAGAGGATCGCAGTCCTCTGGAGCAGGAGCCGCGTGGGTCCTCAAAAACACTTCCCTGAGTGGTGTTACAAGTGTGGCTAATTGCTGAGATACACTGGTTGGTTGCGAGCTTGTAATCGAAACTAGTTTTAATCCCTTGAAAATAGAAACCTTTAATTTCGTTTAACCTACTTCAAGGCTTTAGCRACTGAAACTTTTAATATTTTAATAACTCTTTCGATAATAATTAAGAAGYGGGGCATGTAGGTGTTTTACTATCTGTGATATCCATCTGTACCGCAGCAGGCTGGAATTTCTTGATCCCCAACTTCCCCAATTTGTGTATCATGTCTGTGCTTCTTAACTTAGATACCATTATTTCAGCAAAAATTGCATRCTGGGTATAGGGTAGATTTCTAGGATCTTCATTCTTCAGCTTCTCTACCCTGTTTTTACACCCTCCACTCATATACATGGCTTAAAATTCAGCCATTTCCCCATCAAAAACCTCCCATAGATGGATAGGAAAGATTAACTTAACGGGTTATGGTTTTATGGGTTTTTTTTTTTTCCTCCTCTCTGTTGCAGAGCTATAAAACAAACACAAATCTAGATCTCTAACTTCTTACTGCAAGTACTTGGTCTTTATTGCTGAACTGTAGGTATAGCAAAGCTTTACTAGACACAATTTTAGCAATAAAAGCACATTGGGGCAACAGCCATTAAATGTGGSTGTAGGTTTTGGGCATGATAAATGTTTTTCTTGCATTTTGAAAATAATCCAGCCTGTCCKCAATTTAGTCATCTATGGCAGCTGATACTTGTCGATAAGATGTAACATTGATGCACAACTGTAACCATCCATACAACTTTGAAGCTCCTGAAAGGCCAAACTGAATCTCCTCCTGGGTGCTACAAAGTGAAGAGTTCTCTCTCGTCCTGTTTCTGAGTTTTGGCTCTTGGAGGAACTCCCAGTTCCTCACAAGCGTTATGCTTCCGGTGCTTGGAAGGGATATGCAGCAAAATGAAGTGGTTTTACGGCCATTTAGAAGGTTCCAGTGAGTGCCTGAGAAAGGTCCTGGATGTGTTGAAGACATAGCTGAACAGTTGCAGTGACTGCAGGCTCGGTTGGCTTTTCCAGCCAGAAAAACTGTATGTGTGGCTTGTGTGTGTGTTTGTTTTTTTGTCACAAAGCATTCAGCCTTTGAGGATGTTCAGTGTCTGCGGGAAGCAGAGCTGCTGAGTAGCAAGCTAAAAATTCAGAAAATAAGCCAACATCACCTAAAATTGTGCTTGGTTAATTTGGTGCATAGTGTGTAGGTGGAGGACTTGCRTTATGTAAACATTTGGTCTTTGGGCATGGTTACTACAGTCGTGCACATCCAGAGTGTTTCTCTCAGTTGCCAATTCCAAGCCTTGCAGTARTAAGTATTCCAGCCCTGCTTTGTTTAGCAAGCTACAAACTTGTAATAAATCCTGTCTCTGTGAATAAATTAGATAGTCCTTTTTTTAATTTTTTTTAATGTTTCCAATCCAGGGTTTATAGTGATGCCCTTTTAATAGAACTGTTCTTCCTTGAGCTTTCTCCAACTTTCTCCCAAGAGTGATCGCAGGGATGTACCATCACTTTCCTCCCTTGGGTGTGATTCTGCTTTTAGCAGATGTTACTAAGCTGCCGATTGCTGTTGGCCTSWGTGTGTGCACATCACGTCACACCTTTCCGTGTCATTGTTCAGCGTGATGTTTGTAAATTTATAGAGCTCCTTGTGCAACAGGCGTAATTGATAGATCCGAAGAAGACATCCATTAGCATAAATAGGAGTTAAGATTGGAGCTCTTGGCACCTACACGATCAGTATCGACTGTCCTGCTGAGTAAATAGCTCTGAGGAGGAGGAGGAGGGAGGCTTCCAGCATCCTGTTTGGAAGACAGGTAGGCAATCTCTTTAAGTGTGTCTTTAAGTCACTTTTAAAGATAATTGTGGAGATGGGCTTTTCTTTTTTTTGGTGGTAGTTTGTTCTACATATATTGGAAAAAAGGAAAGGTAAACTAGTGTGGTTTTTTTCTTTAGGAGGTGATTGGGTTTCACATACAACTTGGTAGAGCAGTTGTCAGATAAATGAGTAATTCTTAAGTTTCAAAAGAATTATTGTGAATTTCTGCAGGAACATAATAGAAGAGAAAATACCATTTTTGACTGTAAAAGAGTGGGAAAGTATGGAAGGAGTCTGGAAATGWTGATTCCAGGGACTTTGAATTCATTGTGTARTGTCTATTGTAAAATGYGATTCAAGCCCTTGAACTCTAATCTATTATTTAAAACAAAAGAGGGATAAGAGTTAGGCATTTTGTTCTTGATTAAGTATTCGAATTGTAATTGCTTTGTGAATAATAAGTTTGAACAGAACATAATTGCAGGTGCGGTTTTTGGGTAGTTATCCTTGTCTTGCCTGATCAATATAAGGAAGGTGAATCTGGGTTTTAATTACCAAGATTTATCTCCTATCACTGAAACTTGTCAAACTGATGGACACTTGAATGTTTTTTGTTCCTCCACCCCCTTCCATTTASTTGATTTTTGGCTTTCCCCTCCCAGCAAAATGACAGTATCACAGTGACAASTGGAGCAATAATCCTGCTGCTGCTAAAGCTTTTCTTAGTGATAAGCAGGGCTGGATGTCTGTGTGCTCCTGTGAAGGCTGAAGTGATGCCTTTGGCCTGTATTCTGTGAGGATTGAGTGATGGAGAGTGAGCTGTGAGTGCTGCTCTGCTCATTGTGTTGTAGGTACGTCCTGCAGACAGGTTCTGTTCTCCTTTCAGGGTTAACTCAGGAGCAATGATTTATGCAAAGTAAGAGCCATGATTTATGCAACTACCCTGATAAACAGCAAGGCTTTATCTTGTAATCCTTTCATAACCAAAAGTGCAAGTGAGATTTCTAATGCAGATTTCCAATTAAATTAGATAAAATTATCTGGAACTTTTGTTCAGAAAATCTTGAATCTGCCTGCCTCTTGGTTTTCTAAAACTTGTATGAAATCTCTCTGCATATGTGTTAAACATGTTTTCATATGAATTGAAGATGTACTGCAGTAAATGTTCTTATGTGGGGTATGTTTTCCTAGAAGAGCTTAATGTGCGACCTAATCTGTGCCTTCTGTGCAAGTCGAAGTTTAACTGTACAAAAGACTTTTTTTTTTTCTGTCAGTGTTCACTTGATGGCTAAGCTCAAATGGTAAACAATTTAGGAAAACATCGACCTATAACCTAACTGTAATGGGATAGTAAAAACCTTTTACGTTGTTTTAATTCACTTTTGGAGGGACTGAATGTAAAAGAAACATAGTTACAGCAAAGCAAAGGACTTCTCTAGTATGTACTTTGTGAACAGATTACTTACTAAGAATTAATTACAAAGTCATCTGGTACAGAATCCCTCTGAGCTGGAGCAAAAGTAAATGGAAATTTGTAATATCAGRATTTTGGCTGTAGGAAGGTGTGTGAACACATGCTTAAGAAATATCTGTGTAAACACATGCACTAAATACCTTTGATGATGGAGTTCTGCTGAGATAACAGCAGCCCACGTTGAAATCAGGTTCTGCTCCATAAGACCAAAGGATTAAAAGAGGTTAAATACTGCCATGATTGTGAGCACARCCCTCAGTTCAGAGTATCTTATTTCACAAGGGTGTCTTCAGTGAAGAGTTGATGAGTTGGGCTGAATGGTGCAAATMCATTATTGGGTGACCATGGGTTGGTTGGTCCCAATTCACCATCTTCCCAAAGCAATTGAGTGAATACGCTACTTGGGTTTTTTCATTGTCATCTAGAAAAAAAATCAGCAGAACTGCTTCCAGGTCTGGTATCAATGTAGATCTTGATACTAATGTGCTGTAGTGCTGTTAAATAGATCATGTGCAGTATTAGCTAAATCTYACCTWAATCAATTTAATAATGCTCCTTACCTTCAATGCATCTGCTGCCAGAGGTAGTAGTATGTCCAGGAGGAATGTAGCTTGAGGAGTGCACACTCATAGGATAAACTTTCAGTATCTAGCATATTCTGTGGTTAAGCATAGTGAGGAGGCTTGTTTTTGGAAAGCAAGTCTACTTTATTTTTGTTCATAGGACCATACACTCAGCTGTGTAAACTTTGCCCTAATTATATTGGTTACTCTAACTGGTATTGTGTTTCATTAGATAAATGATTTAAAGTGGACAAATCTCTTCATTGGTATTAGGGAAGTCTCTATAGTCTTCAGTGCTGAAGATGTTCAATTGGTTTGAAATGGCCTTGTTATTTTTGAGAAATTCTCTTAATRCACTGAGTGTCAGCCACAAGTTTGCCATATTCTGTGTAGAGCTTTGGGTGTTCTGGTGGCATTAATACTACAATTGTGACTTGGGCCTGGTCTTTCAGATTGATATTGTTGTATTTCATAATAAAGAACCATATTACCCTGAATCCACCCCATTATTGTGTGGAAAGTGTGTAGTGAGATATTTGAGGTCTGGCATTACCAAGCCAAAGACTGGCCAGTTGATGTTAAATTAGTAGGCCCATTTCCATAGTTCTTCAAAACTTAATTGTTCAAATCACTTCCAAGCCTGGCCATGTGTTTTGCAGCTCCTGGAGGTGTGGAGRTTGGCTTACAGCAAGTAAAGAAAATGACCTTGCAGGGAGTAGATAAGAATGCTGGTGAAMTCTAAAACATGGATAAGCCTGTCTTTCTGCTAGTTGAGGGAAGAATCCCAAATGTTCCACATGACTGTGAAGTTTGGAATAGGTRTGCTTTGAGGTTAACTTGCACCCAAAGCACTTTACAGTCTCTACTCATCTTTTACAGCAATATCTTTCACAGGTGAGTTTCCCAATGGATGTAACCTTGGAGCACAAACAGACTGTATCCTTTGGAGATATGTTGGGCAGGTATTGGCCACATAGGCCAGGTTGTTGGCCCTTGTGCTGCTTGAAAATGTGGACATTCTGCTGATAGCATTCATTGATTTGCTTTTGTGGAAACAAGGCRCAGATGAAATGACACATGATGATATGATATGACATGACCCAGACTTGTCTTTCTGGCAGTTACCTTGTTTAGATAAGTTAAATATTTCCTTTGTTGCCTCAGTCTTTCCAATCAGTTCCCGAAGATTTTTTTTTTTCTTTTTGGCTTGCTCTGGTGTTGTTGCAGTGTGGCAATTGGAACTCTATATGAGTGACTTCTGTAATGATTTTTGTCTGGTGTGGATGCTATGGTGTGTGTGTGTGGTGTTTAAAATTACTTGGTGCACTCGGATTTGATGTCTGGATGAATTTCATTTTCTGAATATACATAAACAAAATACCACYTTACTTCTGCTTTTTACTCCTGATAGTGCTGGGTTCAAGCTGTCAGAGGGAAGATGGAAATGAGTTCATTGGGCTGTTTTTTTTGCAGAACTTTGTGGCTTGTTGCTGACGCTTGAGAGGTTGGGAAATGCACATTTTCTATTTCCTGTGAGCGATAATCTTGATAGGATTGAATTTGGAGGGAGCATGCTGTTGACCTAATGTTTGCTAGTGATAAACTAGAAGACAGATCATTTAATCTCTAACAAGGACACACATGCACACTCTCTAGCTGCTGGATTTAGCATTTAAACATTCAGTGGSACTGCAGCAGGCTTTGCTGGCACTTGGAAAGCACATCTTTAAGCATCTTGATCTGTGTTTGGACAAATCTGGGAAGTGATCATTTTCCTGTTAAAGACAGAATTGTCCTTGTTGTGAGAGTCAGAAGCTGTGAGTTAAATATTGCTGCAGCAGCTCTGGAGGCAAACAGAGCTGCTGTTGTTTGCTCCATAATAGCACTTGCTCAGCCTTGGACACGAGAATTTTTTACAAGATGGGGAATGTTGGCTGGGATCCTGGAGTGTTGGTTTGATGTTGATTTTTCTTTTTTTTCCTGAAGTATTTATGAACTCTTGATTTATCAGAGGACCCTTCACATAATCTTCAAAGTGTCACTGTGGGCTTAGCCCTGAACCTGTGAATTCAGAAGGATCCCTGCAGCAGCTGCTCTGTAGCAACTTCACTTAAGACTCCTCTACCAAAGGCTGTTTATATCTATGGGTAGTGTGGGAATTTTTTACAGAACATTTATTAGTCCTTTCASTTGTCAGATTTCTTTCTTCCAGATTGTTATTGCTTATTAGCTCAAAAAAGTATCTATGATGCAGGGATTTAGATATTCCACAGTGTGTATTAGACTATTTTGTGTTTGGTACGAGTTGTGTGTGTTTGAAGAGGTAGCTGTGAACAAATCATTGGATAACTGGTGRCAATATGTATTGCTGCTTAACAGCTCTAGTTCAGCTCTTGTAAACATGCAAGATGTACTCTAAAACAGATAAAATGATTGCTGACACTTAACAAGCTTAAAATGTTAAATTCTATTTTGTTGTGTTGTTTTGCAAGATAGGTATGTTTTTCTGCACCTACTCCAGCTTTTTATGTGTTAGAGGCCAAACTAAATTTCTGATAGGAACTACGTGTATTTCTTGACAGTTTTATTTTACRACAGTTATGAAATAGTTCTTCCATCCCTRACAATTCRGTGATTCTGTGATCCTTCATKAATTTGCTGCCATGAAGAACTYTGAAAGGTAAAACAGGCAGTGTATTATAGCTGTGAGCTAAGACCCTTGTGAGTTTGAAATGAGGAGTTGCCAGCAGTGCTATGCTAACTGGCATGTGGAAATGCATTCTCGGAGAAGGCAGGGAAAGGTAGGTGGAGAACATTCTTTCCTTTCCCTGTGGCTGAGATAACCTTTCTTTCTAACAGAACAAACCATAGGCTGCTKATTTCAGACTTTGATTGTTCACACCTAGATTCCATCTATGGTTTTTACCCTTTAAATCCAATTTGGTGTTCTTGGCAGTTTCCTCACAATCCTTGTGTTTATTGCTGTAACATTGACAGCAACGTGTATTTCTGAAAAAGGTCACCAGTTTTGCTTTCTAGCTGGAATCTTCTATAGGAGTGGAAACAGAAGACAAACTCAGTGTGGAAAGTGGCTATGAATAAAGTCTACCAGTCTGAGAACAGAGTAAAGGAAAATGGGCTTGAGCATTTCTTAAAAGAAGCATTTCTCAATCCTTAAAATAAAAAGATAAAATATTAGCCTGCAAACATAGAAGTGTTGCTGCCTCCCAAGTGTGAATGTATTTATGCATGTTCTTGGTGTTTTCATTGAACCCATTTCATCATTATGCTTCATCATAATGATGAAATGATGATGGATGTCAGTGTTTTATAGGTCTGGTATTTTSATATCAGCCTCTTTCACAAAGGAGTATGACCAGAAATAACTGAGGCAGGAAACTTTGATCTATTTTGTTCCAGTTTTGTCAGATTTTGCAGTTACTTGAAAAGCTGGACTGCAGCAGCACAGATATTTCCAGTGGCAGTGTAACTTTTCATTGCTGTAGCTTTCAGAAGCAGATGTTGGAGCACAGCCATGTCCTGGGTGTTGTACAAGGTTCCTGTGTGGACACAGTCRGAGACAATGCCCTTGTGAGCAGGTTTGCAGGCTGAGATTGTGGCATTATATCAGATGTACAATTAAGCCTTTCTTTGAGGAAGGACAAGGGAATGGATGGTATTAGATACTGTCATAAAGTATGGAGGTGTAAAAAATAGCAACTATGGCCACTTRGGTAAATTAGAAAGAAGGTTATGTAGGAGCCATAACAAAACTACCTCTTGGTGATAAAATTGCTGCTGTAATGTCTGTATGAGTTTTTTTCCTCCCTCTCTGAGGGAACTGAAATCCTGTCCTGTAGGTGGGAGGGATCATGCAGATTTTCWGGAGGAAATGGAATTGAATGGTGTATGCAAAGACCAGGAAAACAAAAGTTATGGGGAACACATACCTGAAGAGCATTAACTGTGGCTTTGMGTCATGGTAAAGACAATAGGCCTATATCTCACATTGAAGAGGGAAAAAATGCCTCATGAACATGTTGTGTCTTGCTCTCCATGCTTTATGGCAAAAGGTGTGCTTTCAGATTTGCTTTAGWGTCTCTTAACTGTGTGGCAAAAGTAGTTTAATGCAAATTGCTTTTCCCCTTCACTTCAAAGAAACAATTCTGGATGGTGTACTGTGGCTGCTGGAAATAGTAGTGCTTGTTCTGCTCTAAACTTGCTACTGTATCCCATTAATTGTTAGATRCTTCAAATAAACATTTGGAGTATCTAACGTAGGACTTGGTACCCAGACTTGTGACAGTAGCACTTGTGCATGTAGTAACTYATTTCTAGCCAGTAATTGTTTGTAATTCCAGTCATTTGGAAAGTGTTCAGGGACTGTTGTGATMGGAGCACATGAAAAGCAGAGCACAATTGCTGTGATATGGTGGTATCTGACAAATAGGTCTTCCAAAAATATCTGCCAATTTTTCAGGCAAAAAGTACAGATTAGCTGTTCACTCCTAGCATATATTTGTGTATTCCCAGTAAGTCCCTGCTTGCAGTATCTTGCTGTCTCGAAAGAACTGAGTGTATTTAGAAGTTGCACCTTTATTCTTGGTGGCAGGTGAAGAAAGGTTCTCACCCTGTTAAGGTATTCAGTGTTGTAATCCTTATTTGCCTAAGAAATGCTCCATCTGTGTTCAAAGATACTCAATTTTGGGTGTTTTTTTTTTCTAGTATCACGGTTTTATGGAATCTATCCCTGAGATGAGCTCAGTTGCTCAGAGCATGGTGCCAATAACACCAGGGTTGTGGGGTCAATCCMTTTATGGGCCATTCACTTGAGACCCAGATGATCCACGTGGGTCCCTTCCAACTCAGGACATTCTGTGACTCTCTCCATCCCTTTTGGGAGTGTTTTGATCGTAACAGTTTGTGTGTGGAACTGCTGGAGAGGGCTATAATTAGACAATCACTACATCAGCTCAGGATTTTTATAAGTCTCATTAGAAAGATTGGTAAAATGTGGTGGAAGTGTATCCATAATGGTACATTCTTAGTGAAAGTAAGCTGGCTAAGGGTTGAGTAAGGATGTTGGCATATGTGACTTCATTTTATTAGAAGGTGTATTTGTGACAAACTCAAATCTTAGTTTGCTGAGAATTCTAAAGACTTTGTTGTTTGGGTTTTTTTTCCTCCCCAATGACTTAATGGATGAAGAAGCTGGGAAATGCCATGGATCCGTACAGGTTTCTTGTAATCAATATAAAACTATCAAATCCCATACCAAGCARCTAAGCCAGCCTTCTCTTAGGTTTAGTGTAATTGGTAGGAAGGCTCAGTTTAACAGGGGACTCTGCAGGCAGTCAGAATTCCAGGGCCAGCAATTGGGATGCTTGGCTCCCTGTCTCTGTCAATGGATCTGAGGTATCTACATGTGATTACATTTGAATGATATGACCTTTAGTTTACATGGAACAGGCACTTGGAGTGCCTGGTAAAGGACCATGCACACAGAGGTAAAAATAGACTAAAGTTGAGCTATTTTCCTGGCTGAGTGGGTGTCTCATTCCTTAAAACACTGTTAACAGGGGCAGTTTTACAAGAAGGTCTGGAATCACTGTAGTGACCCTGTGGGAGTCTTTTAGAATGTCATGAAAAAAGACATCTTCAAGTACTGGTTATAGGTAAAAAATCTGTTAAACATTTCTTTCAGGTATGAGACATAAACAGCACAGATATAACCATTCAGTCTTCTGCAAATCTCAACTCCTCTAAGTTCTTTAACAGATTTTTTTTTTGTTTTTTACTTTTGTAAAGGTCACAATGGTTTCCATTCCTGAATATTATGAAGGAAAGAATATCCTCCTGACAGGAGCTACAGGCTTCATGGGAAAAGTGCTTTTGGAAAAGCTGCTCAGATCCTGTCCTAAAGTGAAAGCAGTGTACGTTCTGGTGAGAAACAAAGCAGGGCAGACACCTGAAACACGAATAGAAGAAATTACCAGCTGTAAGGTATGTGTCATATGCTCACMAAGGTCATTTTTGTTCTGCATTATAATATTCTGATTTAATTTTAAGAACAGCTTCAGTTTGTCTAAAGCAAACTATTATTGTTAAATGGTTTTGTTTTGTTCTAATAGAAAGATAAAATCCAAGACYTGGCAGTGCTTCTGTAGCTGCTTTTCAAGTGGTTAGTCTCTAGCAAAGCCAGTAGTTGAAAATGATCCTGTATTCAATTCAGGAGGGAATGTYCAGCTGTAATGCAGAAATGAGAAGTAAAAACCTGTGTTAGAGCTTGTTGAGAGAATATAAAATCAAGTACAAGAGGCAGTGGACTGGGAGTTGTAAGATGGATTGAGACTCTTTTTAAGATCTTGAGAAAGTCACCTTTTCTCCTTGTGCCGCCTTTTTTTTTCTGGAATGTCCTATCCCARTGTAACAATGTCAAAACTGTAGCTCATTGCTCAAAAGCATCTGCCTGCAGTCCTGTGTGATGTCATAGAACACAACAATAGAGTTACAATTGGGTTCTGTCTTGRCATTCAGTTCCACATTATCTCTGCATAAACCCCTTTGTCACTGCCCTGAAACAAGGAAAAGATCTCCAGACTAAACTCAGAGATGAAAAAGCAAAAATTTCTCAATCTGCTTTTTRTATACAGTATTACCCAAACAAAAGTGGGGAGTATTTGAGTAGGGAGAGAAGTAGCACTAGTGTGGTCTTAGTTAAACTTCATTAAGATAGAAGGCTCATATGGCTTTTAGGAAACCTGTTGTAGAAAGGTTTTAAATTTGAATCAGTGTGCTTGTAGTCTACACCAGCTCCTGTTGAGATAAAAATCAGATGTGATTTGAGTCTGGGTGAGCACTYATTGCTGGAGAAGGTTCACAGCAGAAGTCCTGAGAAGGAGAGTTACTACTTGAGGCAGGAACATCCAGGGATGGAGTTGCTCATCTGTGCAGAGATGTAGAATAGGGCCAGATGGAGATTTGGTTTTAAGGGTTAGGATGAATATTGAAATAATGTTAAGTGCAAATTGAAGTCTTCTTACCTTCCATACAAAGCATTCAATACTGCTTTCACTGTGTGGGGTAGTTCTTCATCACAGAGTATGTTCATGAAGTCTGTTCCATGTTCTTATGGTATTGCTGATGCACTTCTCTAACTTCCTGATGAGAAACAAGGAGGTATAGACAAAGAATGTGGGATTTTTCTGCACTGAAGTRAAATGTTTGTCTTATCTTCACTGAGTCCTCTTATTTTTGGCAGCTCTTTGACAGRTTGAGAGAAGAGCAACCAGACTTCAAAGCAAAAATAATAGTAGTTATGAGTGAACTTACACAGCCTGAACTGGATCTTAGTGAACCAATCAAGGAAAAACTTATAGAATGCATTAATATTATCTTTCATTGTGCTGCTACYGTCAGATTCAATGAAACACTAAGGTGAGTCTAAAATTCTGTTTACCCTGGTCTGGTAAACTAGTGTGGTGTTCAAAGGGAGGGGTGAATCAGGTGTCTGCACAATTCTGCAAATATGGGTAGAAAGGATGTGAATGAGCTGTAGCTAGATGTGCTGTGCTCCCTCGTAAAATTAGAATTTTTCTCCTGGTGTATAAAGGGCAGCACAAATCGTTGAGAGATGTTCTAGAGCAGGACTGTGGTACATGGTTTTAAGCAGRAAGTTAGGGCAGTGTCCATACTGCTTTTTTGGGGCAGGGTGGAGAATTCAGGGAGATTTTATCTACCTAGCACTGAGGCATTTAGGAGTGAATTTCTTTTTGCTTGCTTTTGTCTTGCTTCCTACTAATGACATTTGTGTTTAATCAAYAGAGATGCAGTGCAGTTAAATGTGATTGCCACACAACAGCTCATCTCCTTGGCACAGAGAATGAAGAATCTGGAGGTGTTCATGCACGTTTCCACTGCCTATGCATACTGCAATCGGAAACAGATTGAGGAAGTCGTGTACCCACCTCCTGTGGATCCCAGGAAACTCATMGATTCTCTTGAGTACGTGTTATGCTTCATGAATCTGCTTGGGGAATCTGTATCTATTGGATTCCTAGTACTGAAGTGAGYCTTAAAGATGAAGAGTTTCCTTGCCTTGTCCTGGAGGATGGGCAGCAGGACTGACACTCCCCTTTTCTGGAAAGGAGATGGGTTCAGGTTTAGGGTTCCTTTAGGCTGAGCTGGGTGTGGAGGGTCCTGATGGAGAGGGATGCTGGCACCTACTCACAGCCTCCTCTGTGATGAGTCCCAGTCTTTCAGCTCTATGGTGAGCTGAGTCACTCATACCTTGTGCTACTACCAGCATTGTGAAGGAAAGGATAAAACTAAGAGAACAGCTACCTCCACTACGTCCACCTAAATGCCATTGCAAGAGCAGTCTGAGATACTGAGATAATATTACTTAATTGTGGGAGTTGTTCTGTTAGATATCCTGAGAGCCCAGACATTAAAAATCTGTTCCTTGTATCTTTTAAGGCTTGAATTGGTCATTATAGATGGGGGAAAACGACTCATTTGGCAGTTTATTTTCTGTATATATTGACTGTCCTGAGGTCTTAGTAGCTGTCAAACTCTGAAACAGGTGACAATGTGGGAYAAATGTAATGTAATAYATAATAATGTMAACTCTAAATCAGTCCCTTCCKCCTTACCTGTCATACAAAATATAAWCCCTTGGAAGAGAATGAAACTGAAAAAACTAATTTAAAACTAAAATACCTACTTTAACTTCTTATTATAGGTGCAAGRATGCTAACACTAAAACCAAATGAGCTACCACCTAAAATGCACATTGAGCCAGCCCTCTTTTATAATGTTGACTTTAAAAACGTTTAACAAATAAGAGATTGCAAAACAGTCATATTTTTGACTATCTGACTTGTGAAGAGACAAATGGAACTTAAATTGTTTGGTATGGGTTGGGACAGCTGTGTGTACTTTGGAACTCCTGAGGGAAGGCTTTTGTGAAGTTATGAAAGAGTGAAGGAGCCTTTACTACCCCTCTTTCCACCCTGTTCATATCATGAAAGGAGTCTGRTGTGTGTCCACTTKGTAATAGAGCATTGGTGAAAAAYAATAAATTCCATTTCTGTGACTACAAGACTGAGGCAAATAAAATTCAAGTCCTGTTTGGCAGTGAGGAACACYAAAATAACAATAGTTGCAGAGGCAYATCTTTCTTGCTTRTGTGCTATGACTGAAGCTTGTTACCTTTTTGATAGGAACTGAGAAGCAAGATGGAATTGCAAGATTTAACTAATTTAAAGGGAGCAACACTGTGACCAGCTTGCTTCGGGGGTGGTGTGTGAGGGCTTGCTGCCACAAAGCAAAAAGTAAAYGCCAGTGTGCTGCTTTTGATGGACACTGAACATGAATCCTCTGTTTTATGAGAAACTTCTTTTCATTTAGGTGTGTGTCCCTTTTTCTCTAAAGGAGAAAAAAATAATCATGGTCACTTTAGCAATTCCCACCTCCCCAGTGAAGCAGTAATTTACACTTGCTCCTTGTTTTGTTTCTGCAGGTGGATGGATGATGACCTAGTGAATGATATTACTCCTAAACTGTTGGGCAAAAGACCTAATACCTACACGTACACAAAAGCCTTAGCTGAATCTGTGGTGCAGCAAGARGGTGCAAAGTTAAACATTGCCATTGTGAGGCCGTCCATCATTGGTGCCAGCTGGAAGGAGCCTTTTCCTGTAAGTCATCTGACCTCTTGTAAACTGTAGTAACACACTGAGAGCAGCTTTATCCTGTGACCTTGGAGAGGAAAATCTCYTGGACTGTGAAGTTGTGTCTTGGTTACTTCTGGATAACAACTGATACAGTACAGGGTGTCTAAATATTGTCATTAAAGCTGAGCAAGAATGCATTGTGGTTGAAAAATGGAAAAAAAAATGGGAGTTGCTAGTCTGAAAATACTTGTAAACTTGAATACTTTGAACATAAACATATTTTTATGGACAATTCACTAAGCAATAAATAAGCATCTCGTTCTAAAGGACCATGTGTGGTCTCTTGTGTGAGTCAKAGGAATTTGTTACATCTCCAGATTTTGCTGTGGAAGAAGTTTAAATTTTAGAGGCATGAAATTAAATGTCTTTCTGCTCTTTTAGTCTCCTTTTCCTCCRCTCCTTACATTTGTAGAAACTGCTCAAATTTTCACTTGAAGCTGCTGACTTCAGTATAGTCTTAACTAAATCCTTTCCTTCCCCCATTCCTAATAGGGCTGGATTGATAACTTCAATGGACCTAGTGGTATCTTCATTGCTGTAAGTAATAAATGTACTTAAATTTTCCCCCCTCCTTTTGGAAGGCATCAAAGCATATGTTTTACTGCTGCATCTTGTGTCTCTCTTTGTTGTTGTTTTGTTTTTCAAGGCAGGAAAAGGAATTCTTCGAACAATGAGAGCTTCCAACAATGCATTAGCAGATCTTGTTCCAGTAGATGTTGTTGTCAATGCCACACTTGCTGCAGCCTGGTATTCTGGAATTAATAGGTATAACAGACAAAAGAGACTACAGACTATTTTGAAATGATATTGTGTATTTAGTAAATCAGTCTTGTATTGAAATTCTTCTCTGTGTCCTGCTGTTTAGTCAGGACAAAGGAATCTTAAGTTTCTGTTACTCAAAGTGTAACTTGCTTATGCCAAAGGAGACATCACCTACTGWTATTATAAAGCTATGTCTGAAAATTCTTTCCTGGGTCTTGTGGTCAATACAATCTGCAGTAGTGTAGGTSATGCCTTGTCTGAAAGAAAAGAAATATGATAATTAAAGGAGAAAAATACTTAAAGATGATAAATCAGAAAATCTACCATGAAACTGATGCTTTCTGCTTTACATTGGTGGTGGTGTTGAGGGAAAGGATAACTTTGGGCATCTCTTCTGTTGTCCATCTTTTTAAAAGGTTGTTTTTCTTCTAACTTGCTCTTTTATCTCCTTTTCCCTCAGACCAAGAAAAGTCATGGTGTATAACTGTACAACAGGTGGCACCAATCCTTTCCACTGGAGTGAAGTTGGTATGCCATGTTTTTCTTTTTTCTCATTACCCTTAAAACAAAAAATTAGGTCAAACAAACCAGTTMTAATCAGTAGACCACACTGCATTTTTGGTTTTGAAACTGGTATTACAGCCACGCCTCTCAATTTTGCAGTGTAGTAAGCTTTTTCATTAACTTCCACTGTAAATTCTCCCTCCCTTCTCCTGCATCATTATAACCACTTCTTTTGGTTCTTGTTGTGATTTTTTTTTTTTGTTATCCCATTATAATTTAAACTATGGGAGAACTGATTTTTCTGTTTGCTGCTGCCATGACCTAATCCACAGTGTGGGTAGTGTGTGGAAAGAAGTGTTCCTGAGAGGAATAGAAGGGATGTTGGGTGTAATGCCARCTCCAATAAATACATATAAATAAGCAGCCCACAATTAAATGTTTTGCACATCTGCATAATTGAAAGGTATGGTGATAGTTTTGCCCTTGTGGAGCTCTTTGTGTTTGACTTCAGTTGATTGTTGGTTGAGGTGGCTTTTTTGTCAGGTCGTTGCATGACATTTCAGCAATTCATGTACAGGGAAGAGTRGCCTTTAAGGATATATGGCCACCTATTTTCAACTCTTGAGATATCCTGACTAGGATGTAACCCACATGCCAAAGGCTTTGCAATAGTTTTTGTTATAAATAACAATACAAGCTGTTTGGCATAGTAAAAATTGTGTGTTAGTTTTCAGCTTTTCAGAAACTGAATCCTTAACTCAGTTTATTTTTTTTTCCTTCAGTTAACCTCAATAGTTAAATCTATTTTATTTGATTTTGGCCATTTTATATGTATCTGTAGATACAAACATTATTACTTCAACCAAACTTGGAAAATTGCTGACTTCACTTATACCCATTTTGAATCAGAGTATTTAAATGCTGTCTACAAACAACAGCATAAAGTTATAAGCACAAATTAAAGGTAGAGATGTATTTCCACATAACTCTTAAAGACTCTGACCCTGCATATCTGTCATGTACTGAATTTACAGGTGTCATCAAGAATTTCACATGGAGTCCCACCCTAKTTGCTTCTTTTCTTAATGTTTAAATTTGGATAAGTTGCTTTCAAATGTCATTTAAAGTCACTTGAGATGATTGCAGAGTCCTCAGTCTGTTTTTAAATTCTTCACATAAGTGATCAGAATAACCCTCTTCATGAAATATAGATGACAATTTAAATAGATTTGCATGCTTTATAAACTGAAATTGCTGTCAGTGTTTGAAACCACCAACTTCTAAGGTACGAAAGAGGAACAGAGAGAAGCTACAATAAAATGTGAGACTGAAGATGAAGGCATAAACCACCACTTGATTGTAGTAAGAACCAGCTCAACAGTATTTTCAGTTAAAAGCTTGTGACTGTTTCAGTTTCTGTGCATTGGAGAAGAGYTAGGGTGGTTGTTGAAATAGCACACTGATGTTGGTATTGTAATGTACTTTGAAAACCCATTACATTTTACATGGTGATTATCGAAGCTGTTGTGCAACTTTTCTTTCTCAGAATACCATGTAATTTCCACTTTCAAGAGGAAYCCTCTCGAACAGGCCTTCAGACGGCCCAATGTAAATCTAACTTCCAATCACCTTTTATACCATTACTGGATTGCTGTGAGCCACAAGGCTCCAGCATTCCTGTATGACACCTACCTCAGGATTACTGGAAGAAGCCCAAGGTAATGGTGACTGGCCTTGTCTGTTCCTCTCACTTTTAAACAAAGCTGTGCTTGCACTATCATGTGTATTGATTTTTATTTTATAGTTCTTTCCCTGAATGTTTTGTGACTAAAACTCAACCTTTTTTTCCTGAGAACAGGTCCTCGACTGCAAAGTGACTTTGAGCTTTCTAGCAAAAATGAGAGTGTTTTTTGTTGGATAGTTTGGGGGTTTGGMTAGCCAAGGTAAACAGAATTCAAAGCCGTAGACCAAGTGATGTTTGTTCTTGAATAATAAATACTAAAAATATGTTGATCCTTATTTTTTCCYGCAGAATACTACGCTAATAAGGTTTTTTCACGAAATCCATTTGAGAATGTRTTAAGGGTACCTGATTTTAAGACAACCTCCAGCCCCATTGTGTATCACTGTCGGGTTGCAGAGRACCTTTTAGTGTCCTTTTCCTGGGATGCTTTGCTCAGATTGGCAGGTCGGAAGCCATGGTAAGAAGGACAGGGTTAGAAATGCCTCCCTAAGGTGCTGGAGACTCTGAAGAGGACMTGGCCTGGGCACTATCTGGGTTTACTAACTGAGCAATAACAACCCAGTGCTGCCTTTKGAAGAGTTTAATGAGTGCCTTAACAATGCTGTCCCAGGTATGTCTTTGATCAGAATCCTGATCAGTCATTAAACTCTAGGAAATGGCTTGTGTTAAGGTTGTTGTTGCTTTTATAAACTGAACATGGAATGGGAGACTGAGTTTTTAATTGCAGGTTATTCCTGTAGATGATACAATTKGACCTGGTATTGTTTGTATCATCTCAGCATTCCGTTCAGTTTATAATGCTTAGATTAGCGTTGGGCTAACTAAAGTGGTGAAAATTATAGGCTAAACTAAATTATGTAGCAGGAATATAAGATACCACTTCAATTTGTTTCAGATTTGCCAAGCCATATGACYTTATCTCATTGCTTATGTTACATTTTCAAAAAGTATTTGCCTCAGACTAAAACTTCCACTGTGGTGACAGTGTATTAACACCAGTGAGTGTTCATTTGTCCTGTAGTCAGGTCTGTCTTAAAAGGAGGGTAAAAACTGTAACACGTTTAGCACTGGATTAGTAGAAAGGAGCAGTTCAAGTGGTTTGTAGGAGAAAAAACTCAACTGCAGGCAGTCAGCTGTTCCTGTACTGCAATTCAATGAAAATTTTTAACAAGTAGAAGAAAAGAAATTAAAAATAGATTAGGTCTATGATTCTTCAGAATGAAGTTATTATGTTAATAATAATCAAAACAAAAAATCTTCCTGTTTTCAAAACACGTATCTGTTACAATCTTTCTGCAATATGAAATCATTCTTTTGCACCTCACTTGCAGAAGCAATGTTTCTGATGAAATGGAAATCTTTTTTGCTGTTTTTGCATCTAGTTGAAARTGCTTGAATTTAACGATTCTCTGATAATATTAACAGGTAAGGAAAGGGAAGGAAGAAATAACCTACARTATTTCTTCCAAATTTGTACAGAAAGAATGTATACAAGAAAGACTGGCATAGTGAAGATTTTAAATTTTATCTTAAATAATGCTCTAGCATTGGGCAATTACRTAAATAGTGGTAATAAACCTTAGCATTGAAGTTTAAAAGTGTTGTTGGTAGCTTGCTGTGTATTCTTAGTTGCATAGCAAAGCTTATTAGTTGTYTAATTATCTTTAATGCAAGGCATAGTTTGCTCATGTAACTTTGCATAGTGCTTAGCATGACAGAACCGTGTGTTATTTAAAAGCAGTTTGGTAGATTTGAAATGTTAAAGCCTTTAAAAATGCACACCARGCAGATCTTCCCAGTTGCTTTGAGAAAATAGGATGTGACATGAAATATTTAAAGTTTGTTGTTCAGAGATTTCTGCAGCAATTCTTCTGTTGCTGCTTCTTAGAAAGCTCAAGGAAAGATGTGGTTGATGTATGTAGGTGTGAAATTATGTCCGTTACATCTGTCATTTTAATTTGAAACTTCTGAAAACTGGAAGCACCTTTCATGTACTGTCTTACAAACCAGAAATGAGTTAAGGGCATCATCGTGTTAAATAGAGCATCCTTTTTTCTTCCAAGTCCTTAAATTGTGTGCTTAAAGGAACCACAGAGCTGCTGGAATGATAAGAATTCAGTAATGTGTCTTATACTTCAAAATTTGCAACCAGGTAAAAATCTGAACAAAGGCAAATCTAAAAGCTTGTTCTATGTTTTTGGAGGAGTATTTTTTATAAAAAAGCTATATATAATGCTTGTGCAGAGACTTGCAGACTGGCAGCCTGTAGAKTCACTGAAGGATCAGTCTGTATTTAGCATCAGGGCTGTTTTTAACCTGCAGACAATAGGTTGGGTGTAAAACTTCTTCAAAATGCAGTTGTAGCCTTGAGTCAGGTTCCTTTCAACTGTCTGGTGTAGAAACAAGCCCMCTTAACTTGTGGATAACTGAATGAACTTGCTTCAAATTGAATTCCTGTMATGTGCTTCTCATGCTTGGTTTTGAGGGATTGGTGTGTGTTCCCCATTTGCAGGAGGAATGTGGTGCCACTGAAGTTACAAAGCTCCACAAGTGTCACTCATTGCTGACATCTCTCAGTGTCACCACGCTGCTCTTTTCCTCCCAGCAAAATGTAGCTTTATGTTGATTTTTCTGGTTTCACAAACCAGAAAAGTGTCACAGAGAAACGTGGTCATCTTCTGCCAGCTCTGTCATTGMTTGAGAGCTGAGATAATGTGGAGAATTGGATTCTTCTGGCTGATAGAGAAAGAAGCTAACCCTACAAAGAAAAACAGTTTTTCCCTTGATTGAATCAGTTGGTTCTGTGGTTTAGTCACTAAATCCAATTTGAGTTGGAGGGAGGGAAAAAAAAACCTCTTTTAAGCTTTTTTTTTTTTTTTTTTTTTTATTTTTGTAATCAGCTTAGCTAAGCTCTAGAATCATATCCATGAGCAGAGACAAAAAGAATCCCAGCAGAGGTTAGTCTTGAGCAGAGACAAAAAGAATCCCAGCAGAGGTTAGTCTTTGCATTAGTTTAAATTTAGTATGATTTATTTTCTTTAGAAAAGAATGAAAACCAATGTCAGTGGCCAGAAACAAGCTAAATGTATACACTTACCTAATCAGATATTCATTTGCATAATTAGTATTTTGCAGGGGCATAAGTTTAAAAAAACTGTGGCAGTCAAAGCACTCTAAAATGTAGCTGCTTGTCCAGCTTAGCATAAGGACACAGAATGGGAAGGTTCAAAAGGGCAAGTCAAGTTAAATAATCTTCAGACTGTCAAYGGACAGAGCTCTGCAATAAGTCTAAAATGCTCTTTGGCACTGATTCCATCCTGRCATTTTTGCTCTGAGGTATTTTTGGCTTATCTGACCAGCGAGTTCTTTGCTTTCTGTGTTTTGAGTTATTTTCCTAATTTTTCTGCTTATCTAGCATACTTTTTTTAAAGTTCACTTTAACGGGATATGTTTTTGATGCAGAGTCTATATTTGTAATTATTTTTGCATSAGAGGAGCTCTGGTTCAACTCAGCCCCCATGGTTGCCACCTTGCCCAACTGGTGAAATTATAAGCAGGTGTTTGAAAGCTTCTAGAGGTGCTTAGTAATAAAATCATTATTAATGTGGTCTAACATTTGGAGACAGTTCTCAATGAGATATGTTCCTATGGGGTTTAAGAAAAATTTTTGTGCTTTAGAGATRCTCTACATTTTTTCAGTGATCTCTGTGGTTTCTATTGCTCCATTCTGTGAGAAGAAAAAGAGGAAATTTTAATGTTCCCTTAGATACTGAGATGTCAGCTGCTTCTGACAGTGAGGGATGCTAATGCAATGCAAAATACTTGCTTTAGAACAGTTTCTGGGACAATGCTACATCCCTTCTACAAGTATGAATTCATCAAGGCAGCTTTCAGAGAAAAAATAATTTTGTTTTTATTGCTTCTGTGATCTTTACTGGTAAAATTCACCTTCAGAAAATATTTCCTGTTAGTACTGGGTTCTGCTTTCTTTGCCTCCCCCCTTATCATTGTGCCTAAAATGTTCAGTGTCGTGCTATAAGGATCAATTTGAAGCCATTTGCCATTTCTGTGAGATGGAAATACCTCGAGCCCCCAAAGCAGGAATTGAAYAGCATTAGGCCATGTGCTACTAGTGAGTACTTATTAAAACTGAGTGGCCATCTCTACACTSAGACACTTGAAACAGTTTTCTTGTCATAAGTGGAAGTTTTGCCTCTGAGAGGCTGCATGACTCATTTTTTTATTTTTTTTTTGGTCTACTTCAGATGGTATAATCAAAGAGCAACTTGCTCAAATTGATCCTTATAACATAATTTCTCTGTATTCCCTGTGATGGTTTTGTAGAGTTTCTTCCTCTGCATAATAAAGGATGATGGAAGGTATTTCTGCATGTTTTGAAGTAGCACAGAACAGGATCTGCTGTGATCTGTGTCCTTAAATATTTTCCTGCTGGTAGTTTTAAGCCTTGATCTCTTAGTGACCAAAATGAAAAACTTTGTTCTGTTACAGAGATCTTTTGCACAAAGTGCAGGATGATCAGGACAATTTCCTCTCTTGTTTGAGGGGAGGTCCTGCACAGACATCCTGCACTGTGCAATTTGATTAAATATAGCTAAAAACTCCATTGTGCTGAAGGGAAAAGGATTCCATCTCTGTGTCCCAAACCAAGAGTTACCAACAGAAGACAGCAGATTTTTTTCCCCCAATAAAAAAGAAGAAATGGTAACTTGCTATTGCACTGGGAAGTMTAATTAGGAAAAGAAGGACTGTCTGATGGTTTCTGGTTCTATACAGAGATTGGACAGGCAAAATTCACTTCAATGCTATGCAGAAATTCCTATTGATGTAATATAATGTGCTTTTGGTACTGAGCAAGATGGGATTTTTTTTTTTATATTGGGGTAGGGGGTTGGAGGGTAAAAAAATCTTACAGTTTTATTTGTTTGAACTAATCTTTACCCCTGTAACTTGTCCATTCCATGCCTTGGACTGTAGGATGATGAAGACAATAACACGTCTTCAYAAGTCCATGATGTTATTAGAATATTTTACAAACAATTCTTGGATCTGGAGCACTGAAAACATGACTATGCTGATGAACCAGCTAACCCCTGAAGAYAAAAAGGCAAGTGGCTTTGTGGTGTGGGTGTGGGTGTGGACTGGGAGGGAAATGGAAATTTTTTAATTCAGGATAGAGTAAGGACGTGACGTGATCAGAGATGAGGATGGGCAGGGAGCAGTGAAATAAAGATGACAGTTTGTTGAGGGAAAAGGAAAAGTTGTTTCTTCCCAGGTTTAACTTTACTCCCAGGTTTAACTTTACTCCCAGGTTTAACTTTACTCCCCGTTTTCTCCACCTCCTCCACTGCCAACAGATGAGGTGCCCCAATCGAATTGAAACTTCCCTTCTGCTGTGACTTTGTTGGTTAATATTCAGAATAAAAATCACCAGTTTCAATTCTGAACACTCAGATTCCCTTATGCATTTGGAATGGTTCTGTCATTCTTAAAATGACTTTCCTATTGAAGTGTTTTCCAGAATCAGTTCTGTAGTTACATTCCAGAAAAACAGCCAAATTCCTAAATAAGCTGGTTAAAAGTAGGAAATAAAATAGCTTTTGGTGGATGGTATTTTCACCTCTTCCTGCCCTCTTTCCTCCTCGTAGTAACTTGAGTTCTGGAAAAATTTGAAAAACAAAGTTCCAGAGCTTTGGACTGCTGTTATTTTTCAAATAGCTGCATTTTCATTGTTGGGATTTAAATACTGTTACTATAAAATCTTGAGATGAGGAAATCAATAAAAAACTGGAGTTTTGAGTTCACCGTAGTAATTTTCTCTCCTGCAGAAGTCACTCAGATTGTTGTATTTAAAATATAACTGTATAACTATAAACACACCTAAAAGAACCTTTATCAAATAGTGAACTTGGCACAGAGCAGTGTTTATTTTAGAGCATATTAGAATTATTTAGTTGCTTAAAAATAAACAACATACAAGAAAATAGTTATTTTTAGACTGGAATTCCTTGCAGAGTGTTGAAATGGGAAAACTGAGAGGTGGAGAGTAGAATATTCCTTCTGAGGTGGGAAAATAAGGCATGAAGTCATTAAAATTTGGAAGAGATGATATAAGAAGCTGRTGGTTGAATCAGAAATGGGATCTAAATCGACTGTTTTTTGGATTAATGATAGGATAACTTTCTTGTGTCAAAGACAAATTGGGTTTATCTGGAATAAAGACCTCTATYTTCATTTAAATTATATGGAGGTGAATTTTTAGACAACTAACAGTGAAATCTTTTCTGTTATACAGACGTTTAATTTTGATGTTCGACAACTACACTGGGCAGAATATATGGAAAATTACTGCATGGGAACAAAGAAATATGTGCTGAATGAAGAAATGTCAGGCCTCCCTGCAGCTAGGAAACACTTGAATAAGTAAGTATAATSGTAAATTTGTTATTTTAAGTATAATTTTATATTTTCTCTGCCTTGTAGCATTTGTCCAGTTTGGTTTTTTGTTTGGCTTGAAGTTTCCATCTCTACATGTGAGAAGATTTCTCAAAATCACAGTTGCTCTAAAAGGTCACTTAGGTTATTTTACTCTTTAAATATAGTTTCCAGAGAAGGAAGGAGTTGAAAATTGTAGGGAAGAGGCTGGGTTCCTTGGCTAGAAATGTCTGGAAAATCTGATGAGTTTTGATGATGGGGTGAGGGTTATTTTGGTTTTTTCCTCTTGTTATTGTCATCAGTGGCAGTTGCAATTACATCAGCATATTTGTTAAGTTTTAAATGCATGGTGGGGAGAAGGGAAGTTCAGAGTGTTAAATATTTAGAAGTACATGTGGTGAGCAACAGGGCTGACTCTGTTCCTTAATTTTTATTCTGCTTTTCAGCAGTCAAATGTTCTCTGTTTGTTATTTTTGTCATTCTCTTAATGCCACTGGTAATATATCTTGAGATGGATAGATAAACAAATTCAATTCTGTATCAGAAGTTAATTTTTAGTGTTCTTTTCTCCTCAGAGTCTTTGTATGTTGTCTCTTAATGACTCCTTTTGTTTTCCCCAAGGTTGAGGAACATTCGCTACGGCTTCAACACCATCCTGGTGATCCTGATCTGGCGGATCTTCATTGCRAGGTCACAAATGGCAAGAAACATCTGGTACTTTGTGGTCAGTCTGTGCTACAAGTTCCTGTCCTACTTCAGAGCCTCCAGTACCATGAGATACTGAGCAGGAGAATTTAGCATTAGGACATCTATGCATATGGTGGTCTAACTGCACAAACCCTGTAACCTGTAGTCATCTCACATTTCCTAAAAGCGTAATTTCATTTTTCATTGAAAAACGGTTTGGTATTTGTGATGTTAGCTGTGTACCTTCCTGGAAATGGAGCAAATCAAAAGGGCAAGTGCCACACTGAATTGGCATTAAAAAAGCATTTAGACAACTTTGGCTCTTTGACCTGGGGAAGACATATTAGACCACTGACCAACATAACTGTGCAATTGGGAACGTGTTTGATTGGAATCTGCCTTAACATCAGATCTTTCTTTTGAGTTTTACTCCACATTGAGCAAGATAAATATTGACTTAGTAGATATTAGTTGCTGTAGATCTATTTATTTGAAATTCTTCTAAATTACAAAGGGTTTTGCAAGTTGCAAAAAGTGTATAAATGACAGTAGATCTCCTGAAATAAAATAATCGAGGACTTTTGTAATTTGTCTTTATGTTTTGCCACTTCTTCCCTTCCCCTCAAAGCAGGGATGCAACAATGGTGCCTCCTTTGTTTTAAAAATGAACCAACCTTCCTTAATTACTGAAAAACCTTTTGTATGATCTGGGCTTCAGAATGCACTTTGTGATTTGGTTCTGTGCTTGAACCTGGCTTGAACTTGCAATGTCAGCATGAACAATTTGCTTCTCTGAAAGCAGAAAAAATGAAATGTAACCCAGAGAGGGGCAAATAAAATCATTCACTGTCCTCTTTTTAATGATTTTTTTTTAATTGAGAACACAGAGCCAGCACTTGATTGTTACACTTCTGACTTCAAAGGGTAAAAGTAATGAAAAGGAATTTATTATGCTTAGTTGCTATTTATATTGCTGGGAAGGGTAGCTGGAAAACCTGTAGACTTTCATTAAGAGATATACCTGGTTTTAGGTTGCAAGCCATGTTAGCAAATACTTCAAGAATTGATAATTTTTTTAAATCTCTGAGTTGTTAAATTTGATGCATGGACAACACCAATGCACAATTTCTTATCCCTGTCCYAATAAAACCCCAGAGTAAGATGCACCTTGCTCCAAAATCAATAGATTTTAACAGTTCTTCCCCCTGTCTTTTAACTTAAATTATTAGGTTGAAACCTGAAGAAATCTGGAGCTTTTTCTGCATGTAACTTCGTTTCATGCAGGGAAAACATTTGTAGAAATRGGAAGTTGTAAGAAAAAATGGAATCCTTGTTTAATCCAAGTCAATTTGGAAGATCCCTCTAAGTTTTGGTTGCACAGATTTGAGAATGCTGTAGTGCTCCTCTAATTGATGCAGACCCTTGCCCAGTGTCTGTTCATTCAAATCAGTTTGTACTGATGAAATTGTGCTTGAATTGGCCTGGGAAGGCAAATAATGATTAAATCACACAAGAACTGCATTATACTTGCCCTTAGTAGTTTTTTGTCCTATTGAATTAAATTTGTAAAGAACTTATTTTGCTATTCTTCCAAAAACTCTTACTTTAAAGGGAACACCTTTGCTGCAGGTGTATATCTCATTTTGAAAAGATAATGGCTTCCTTGTCGAAGCTAAATATTCTGTATGAAGTAGTTAAGCTGTAATTCCTTTTKAAAATTACTGGTGTATATATAAAGCTAGTGGTGAAAAGCCTGAAAGGTCTAGGACCACACCTGGTGTGAGAGACCTCTGATGTGGCTGAAATAAATGAAGGCTTCTGTGCTTGGAGATATTACACTTTAACAGATACAGTAGTGAATTAAATTTTCAGCTGCCTCCCCAATATCTTCCTAGAGCTGAAAGTCTGCTTAAGCATTCCTGAATTACAGACTTTTCTGTCAGCAGAGGGGCCTCCTGTCCAGTGACACCCCTTGTCCCATCTTGGCATGTGGCTGAAAGACAAATACATCCTATTCTGAAAGTTATTCTGTGAAACAATTCACTTGTAGTTGTTTCTAACTMTAAATATAATATATAAACCTTTTAACATGCTACTTTTAACGTTGATTTGTTAACACTGAGATGAACCATGAAGCCAATGAACTGATTATTTCTGGTCCAAAACACTGCTTAGAAATTTAGTCTTTTGAATAAATTACAAAGAGATTACTTTAAACCTAAGGATATTTAACCTCTAAATATTTGCCAATTTAGAAACCAATTTTTCCCCTCTTTGGAGACTGTTGTTACACTGATTTGTCAGTCATCCTATTGAACTGACAGTAGATTGTGTCACATTTATTCCTCTCCTTTTGTCCCTTCCTGTGGTCAGTCTGTGAAATTCTCTCTGGAGCTCTTGGGGTTTTTCCATRTGGGAACCCTGTCCTCTTGCAGTTCTTCACACCAATGTTTGCACATAAGGGATGTTGGTCARAAATCTGCTGGGATATATTTTGGTTGGGAAAGGCAGACTCAGTGTTTTGACTAGCAAGTTATCAGCTGGTTAATAGGAACAGACTGAAATAACATTATTGCTGAACTGTTACTGATAATTAAATTGGGGACCAGGAAAAAAAATTACATTTTCCTGTAATATTTTTCTCTGCTGTAGGAACAGATGTTTGGAAACAAATGCTAAATCTGTGAGTTTTTTTAAGACATAAACAGAAATATTGGGTGCCTTTGTTTGTAAACCAAAAATAAACAAATCCCTTGAAAGTGTTGTTACAGTGTTCATTGTATCTTTTTATGYTGTTTAGTCTAGTTTGTGGAAAATCACTGGATAATTTAAATGCTCTCTTGATATATATGAAAATGCCCTTTCTCTTTGTGAGAAACTGAAAATCAAGTTCATGACTAATGCTCCAAAAGAAACCCAAACAACTGAACGTAAAAGCTTCACAATCACAAACCAAAATACAAATCAAAGAAAATCCACCAAACCCCCACAATCTAAACCTTTGTGGAGTGATATCAGAATGCGTGGTAGGTATCTCTGGTCATGGGGACTTTTTTGTGTGTCAGCTGCTTTTTTCCTCACTGTCATAACTTGTACATTTGCTCTATTAGTTTCAAATTTATTTCAATAGTAAAAACTAATCTGCTTTCTTCTATGGTTTAAAAAAGGTACTGTGGTTTTGCAGAAGCTTTAGGATTAACATTTTAAGCAACTGCAGTTATTTATGGCATCTACATTTTGTGGTGAGGGAGGGAAAAGTAGCATTGAGTTAGTGCAAAATGCTTTGGGTTTTTGTTTTTTCACCTTTATTTCTTGGAATATTCAGTTTTCATGGATTCCTCCTCCTTTTATCAAGAACACAATCCTAAAGATTTGCAGGCTGTGGCTTGGGGTCTGACAGCTTTAAGCATAGCCTTTCCTGGAAGACTAAAGCTACCAAACAGAGTTGGAGTTTTGTTGTCTCAAATTCAAACTTGGAAGCAAGGAACAGAAAAGTTTTAAGATGCTGTCTCTTATGTCTTGTGTTGTTGAACATTTTGCCTTTTATTCACAGTACACYATTAAATCTTCCACTGTTCAGAAGCAAAGAATAGCCTTGTAAAGGTAACTTGGACTGAGAAGCACCAATAAAGAAGAAGAAATATGTACAAACATTATAGAAATGTTTGTACATATTTCCCAATCTGTTGAGCAGACTTTAAAACAGAAATGAAGAAAAGACTAAAGAATTGCTACTATGGAGAAATGTAAGTGTATTTAGGTGTAGTTTTGTTGGTCAATCTCTGTGCTGCAGCACGGGCAGTTTTTGTCTTGCCTGGAGACATTCACTGTGTGTTTGAGTAAATCTCTAAGAAACAGTAAAACAGTTCCAGCAGAGCTGATAGGAATTGTCTGCTCTCATTTYCAAGATGTGCTGTACCACATAAATTTAGAAGCACAGGTTGACAGGTCTCACTTGTCACTTTAAATCCCAGCTTTGCTTCCTCTGCTGGAGCATTTCTCAGCAGCTCTGGCCTCCTTTCTGCTGCAGAGCACTGCGAGTTAAAGGTTGTGTAACAGAGCTGCTGCTCTGCCATCTCCAACTAAATTKAACCCTGCTTCCACTTTCCAGATATTTATAAATGCTTCTCTCCTTAATGTTATCTCAGTGGCTTTCTTCAGTGCAGGAGCTTTGCCTTTCCCTCTCCACAACTATTATCAATCACTGATAGGTAATTAGTAATTATGCAACTGTCTCTTCTGGAATATGAAACAATGGCAGCTTTGAGCAGCTTTTATTCTTACTATGGGAAGTGGGGGGAACTGTGACTAATTGGTGAAAGCAGAAGTTCCAACACATGAAAGCACTGGAATGCTTGGAGCTGTGGGCTCTAGGTAGGGTGAATGGGAATTTTTCATTCTTGATTCAGTTACAGGCATTAATTGTGATTGTTACCATAAGCCTTCAGTGCTATTCTAATTGAATTGTTACACCTTTGAGGGTTGTGATTCTGTGGCTTTTGGAGAGTTCATGGCCTGGTAGGGAGAGAAGCAAGGCCTCTTCTGCTTCTTAATGAGCATATGGAAATAAGTMAACTTGCCATAGATTCTTGGAAATTAAAAAATGAAAACCACCACTTTTAGTTACAATTTTCTGGGGTGTAGAATGAGCATTAAATCCTAAATTGCCATTGCCCCATATGTCAGGAGTTTCTGCTCTGCCCTCTGTGTAGGAATGGCAGTCCAGTMCCAGCAGCAGAAGGTGGCTGTGCTATTCTTGCTCTCATCAACAAACATTGATTTGCCAYTCCAGTGAAAATTATTCAGTACTTGGACACTATTAACTGTCATGTATCATGTCAGCCTTAATCTACATTCAGGATGGCATAATACAGTTGAATATTTTTATCTTTATGRAAGTCAGTAGCTCATCCTTTCCTTCATTCCTGATGAAATGATCCCAGAACTGGATGTCCAGGGACACAAATAGTTATGCTTGCTGTTTTAGGCACYTCCTTGGGTGGAATTCAAGAATCTRAAGCTTGAGAGAGAGACTTGATTTCCTCTAGTACACAGCTCTCTCAGTATGATTCAGAATCATAAGGCAAATGCTTAAAATAAGCAGAGACTTTGCAAAAGCAGTCACATTGTGAGGTGGGAGAGAGAGACCTGTGGAAACAAAAGGAAACTGTTGAGGAGAAGCATATGAATATGGTTAATACTCATTTTCATGTGTTCTCCAGCTGTTAAGTCACATAGTTTGAGAGAGGCTGATTGGTTTTTGTTTTCCTCTATCTTTCAAATCCCTCTTACCTTTCCTGTTTCATCAAGGCTCTCCCAATTTAGGACAGGAGCCTGCTCTTTGTTGTACACAGCACACAGGTTCAGCATCTTGTGAGGGTTCAACTCTGCTTCAGGCCAGATCTAATGTGGGACTCCCAATGATCTCCTTTCTCTCCTGTATCAGTGCCAAYCCAGTGGGCTGCTTGAGTTTTGGGCTCTTTGTCCCCCTGCTGAAGAGGCTTTTTAGAAAGCTCCAGACCAGARCTCTGGATTTAAATGTGCTTCARKAAGTTCTGTACGTTTGGAATATTTTATGGCATTTTAGACCTCACTGAGCAAACCAGCTCTTCAAAACTCTTGGCTCCTTTGTTTTCCTTCCCCACCCCAGACGTTGCCATTGGTGCCTCTGCTCTTCCACCCACTCAGCTGAATGAGACAAAAAGATTAGATGCTCTGGCTTGTAAACACTTCATTAATGCCAGCACTGTAGGTACCAGGGGAAATGCCACTTGGGTGCTTAAATACTGTYAAATTCTAGTTCTTGAATACAAAAGCTTCTAATTAGCTGCCATAACTCATGCACTGTTAAGGTTTCTTAGCAAGCAGAGCATGTCTCACTACTTTTCAATCCAGGTGTGTGGTTTTAAGTCACAGCTAATCTCTCCTTGTCAGTGACACCTGTGGTTTTCCTCTGATAAATATTTGATTTGGAAAGAAAAGCATGCAAGGTAACTCCCACTCATTGCCACTCTAATTTCAAACCAAGTCTATCCATTTTTAATGGGAATGTGCTGCACTTAGCCCAGTAAGTCACCTTCTGGATAGATGAGCTGCTTTGCTGGCTTCTGCATTCCATGTGGTTTTTGTATTTCAGAGCCAGTGAGTGCTCAGCACCTATAGAGGAGTTCAAAGAGCATCAAATGTGACTTGAAATTCTGGGACATTATTCTGAAGATATTTTAGGGACTTACACTCCAATAGTATTCCGTGAAGGCTTTTTTAATAGCAGTCCTTTGGTTACAGGGACAGAGAACAGTTCCTTGTTTTCAAATGATCTCACTGTTTTATCAGTACTGCAGGAAGGTACTGATATGAATTAAACTATTGGTAGAAAATATTAGTTATGTCTGAATTAATGAGCTAAAATATTCSCATCTTTTAGGGTTAAGGTTGGTTTGTGGTGGCATGGCAAGAGAACTTGGCTGAAAGAGCCATCTCTTCAGACACTTCAAACCAGAGAAAACACCCTGAGTGGAAAKCCAGTGTCACCAGCACAGTGCAAGCAACACCCTTCACAATCCTGGGAGGTTGTTGTCACCACACTGAAATTTTTTTTGCATTTGCTKTCACAAAGCTATTAAAACATGACAAGTGGCAATGATGACTTGCATCATGGTAGATGATTATAATCTTTAAAGCACGAACGCTTCTTACAGGTCATTTTAATTCCTCTTCCCACCTACGCCACATTGGCTGGCTCCTATCTTGAGATCACCTTTTTGTTTTTAGAAACCCAGGTGGGAGAGTTTAGGGCAGGTAATGATTAGCACGTGGTGCTGCAAAAGGGCCCAGGTGTGGGGCTTTAGAGCAGAACAAACTCAGCTGTGCCTCATGTGATGCTGATAAATGGGCTGCCCCTGCTTTAAATGGAGCCTCTCACTTTCCCTGCCCGGTTTGGCTCCTGCTCCGTTATCTCCTTGGAGAGCTGCAGTGCCCCGGGATCCCTTAGGAAATCAGTGATGGAAGGAGATGGACACAAACTGCAGGTGGGAGATGTGAAAGATGGCAGGAAACATTTCAGTCTTATTGCAGAAATTGCTGCTTGAGATTGTCTAAAGCYTTCTGCCCTGTTACCTTTTGATAGCAAGAAATACTTGTGCATGYRAGGAATGGGAAAGTGGTAAAAAAKAYCTGATTTTATACAMCTGGATTAAAGAAAACTCCCAGARGTTGKGGTAGTATTTGTAYCTGGCTGAAARCAGAGGGAGAAATAAAAGTTCAAARGGAAGGCAGATGAYGAATCACTGTTCTTAAAAATCTTCCTACTGTTGTCCTTTCCTTTAGGATGGAAGTTGTAACTGCCTTAGAGATTGTGTTTGAGAAGTAAACACCCTTACTAAATTATTGCAGRCACTGATTCTTGCTGCTGCAGGAACTGGTTTTAGTTTATTGTAAAATTGCTGCAGGGTGATGTGTCAGGCTGTTGAATTCTGCTCTGCTGTGAGCTCTCTGAGGAGAGATACAAGGTACAAAGGCTCTGAGTGAAATTTGATTGTAACAGACTCCTCCTTAGGGATGTCTGCAGGCTAAAATAATTTGAATACATGTGATGTGAATTGGTGGGCTCTGCTTGGACGTTTTGAGCCTGTGTGTTATTAAGCTCACTAGAAAAGCAATATTCAGTGTTCTGMAGAAGTGAGGTACAATTACCCTTGATGTGTACTCAGACTGTAACATTATCTTAGCAGATTTTCTGACTCTGCTGTTCTTTCACTTC